GTGAGGGGAGCGCGGGCTTCTCTGGGCCGTGACGGCGCCAGGGAGCTTCCCTTAGGGCGCTTGCAGGCCTCCTGTTACTGCGGGGAAGTCGCTTGCTGTAAGCCACTTGGTTAAATATTTCTGTTAAACGTTATGATTGTTTAGCAGGTAGGTGCTACGTGTTGTCATTATAAATCTAATTAAAAGACCGGGACGTTTTGTCTTAAAAAAAAACCCAAACAAACTCATACTTAAATGTAAAGACTTGTTTCCTTCATAGTGAGGATAACATCTCCATGAAAGTCACGCTTTCAGTGTTTTTTTAAAACTAAAAACAGTGGGGATTTTTTAAACTAAAAATTATTTAGTGTTACTTGGTGCTGTGATGTATTCTTTGTAATAGTTTTGCAAAATAGTTCCTTTCCTGGCAGATTTTGCTGTTGAAAGTACCTTTATTGTGTGGAAAAAAAAAAAAGTTACATTCAACTTTTTGTGTTGATATGTGTTTTTTAAAAATGTAATATTCCATTTCTCTTTCTTTCAACATGCAGGTTAATAACTGTGGTCTTCAACTGGTTATCCAGACTTCATCAATAACAGATAAAAACAAACCAGTAATTATTACCTTTCCTTTAATAATTATATTAATTAATGCTGTTGTATGGTACACCCAAATTTGTATGCTTTCAGATAGGAGTTGCCTTTTCAGTAGTAAAATGTTGACTTTTAATATAATATCTGATGTATCTGGTAGTCTTTTGGTAATTTATCTCATCCTATGTACTATAGCCTGCCATAAACTTGCTCTGTGTGTGTATATATGTCTTCTTATGCTTCCATCTGTACCTCTCTTCCTCCCATAATTGGAGTACTCCTTATAGTGTGGGGTGGTTTTTTTCTTTATTTAGTCATCTGCAGATGAATGTGCTGATAACGTTCATATTTTCGTTTTGGTTTCCAGCAGTGAAACTTTTCCATTGTAGTATCTTAATAGAATGAATACTCTCTTTATTGGAGCGATTATTTAATTTTTTTAAAGCATTTGCAGTTTCCTGAGAACTGTAGTTAGTTGTTACTAAAGTTGTGTTTGTCTGTGTAAAGACATTGTTTGCATTTGAAAACTTTAACGTTTGTCTTAAATATTGTGTTACAGTTTGAATTCAAGATAAATAAAGAACAGTCATCTTTCCACAATAGACTTCTGCAGCATGATCTTGAAAAAAACTATTCAGGAAGACAAGGTGATACTCGATAGGATTTGGTTTGTTTTTCTTTTGTATGCCTTTTTATTAACTGAACAGCAAAGAAGGACTGTAATATGATTAGAATATGTGAGAGTGACAGCTTTTCCTAATTGACTACAGTAATTCAGTATAATTACTGCTGCAACACGTCTTGAACCTGCTATCCTTCTACTGCCTAGTGCAGATGGCTTTTCTTAATCACTTTTTGTCCCTCGTTCTGTCTGTGGAAGAGCATCCTTTCCTCTACCTGCAAAGCCACAATCTATCAATTGCCCTACTTTACATTCCCTCAGAAGCCATACAATCCTCTACTGTAACATTTTACTGGAGGTTTAACATTTTAATGTATGTAGACAAGATAAGTTTCTAAATCAGAACCCTGATGCGAAGAGATAGTTTTCCTATTGTGCTTGTGTGCTTTTGGCTTTGAAAAGCAAGATATTTGATGATATCACTGCTCACTGGTGAAGCTTGGAAGAGCCTTGAAACACAACACTTCTTGCCACACTGCTGCTGCTTGCCTGTCGTATGAAAGCAGTGATCGGTTAGGATAGCAGATCAGTTTATTATGGCAATTCTTTATTCATTCTGGTAAAAAAAAAAAAAAAAGACCAACAGCTGTTCAGAATGCTGATACTATTCAACTTATTATGGAGTAAATTTAATTCTGCAGTTTGGCTTTGTTCCCCACACAGGAGACCAAAGAATATTAAGTCCTTTGGTGCGTAATAAGCAGATATATCTTCCAGTACCATCCAGTCTGACTGAACTTTCTGGTTTGGAGTTGAAGCAGAATGCTGGTTCTTTATCAGGATTTGGTGAGACTTCTATTCACACACCTACAAAATCCAGATTCCGGCAAAGCAGCCACAGCATTAGTTCACATGTTTCAGGTAACAGTGAAAACTTCTCTAGCTAGTATTTTTTTTTTTTTTTTTCCTTTTTAACTGGGTGTCTTATTGAGAAGTTATGACCTGTAAGATGTGCCACTTCTGGCTGTCAGAATGTATGACTGAATAGCAAATGAGGCCTACTGTTCCCTTTGGGTATTCAGAGAGGTTACTAGATCATTGTCAGGAAACTACTAGAAATATTTTCCAAAATACAATATAGGCATTTAAATACAGGCTTTTTATAAACCTTTCTTTAACAAAAGGGCAATAATAGGCATCTTTGACACGTGTCTCTAGGAGGATGATGTTAGAAGAAAAAAGTCAGTGTACTGCCATCATGTCATCTTTCAGACTGATATTTAAGTCTCTCGTCTTATGTTTATTGGCTTAAAAACCTGAGACAACTAATTTAAGACTTTTGCAATGATGTTAATTAATTATTTTCGGCCTCAATGCTTTTTTTTTTCCCCACAGTTTTTTTGACTTTGAAGGATACATAAATAATATTGGTTGTTATACTGGTTTGTTAGAGTAGCTGGTGATGAAATGTTAGAGTGTAGCACTGAAAGGTTCTAAATGGAACAACAGATTGTTTTACTTAAATAGATATCTCTTCTAATTGCAATTTTTAGACAACAATGAACTCACTCTCTATAGTAGTAAAGCAATTATCTTTGTGTATTGAAGAATTAATGTTTTTCCCATTAATGTATTTGATTTGTTTGAAGGAAGAGGGAAAAAAAAAAAGAGGGGACAAACACATAGAAGTTGGGCCTGTATTCTTGTGCTAGTATGCACGCACGATGATCTATTTTTGACCAATATTTTTCAGTGGATCATTTTCCAAATAAGCCAAAGCTTGCAGAACATGTTTGTTGATTTATTTTGGAGATATTTTTAGTCATCCTCCCTTTTTCTCCTTATATTAACAAAATGGGTAAAGATGGATAGCTTTGTAAATATTAAAGGGCTGCCTGTTTCTTTCTTGATAATGGAGTGAAATATAATACCAATGATTACTAGGTATTGCATGCACTTACCTTTAAAAGACTTTACATTTGTTTGTGGCTCAGTGGGACTGTTTCAATGTTTTGGTGCTTTGGTTTCTAGTTCTATCAACATCTACTTGATCTGTGTCTTTAAATTCATCTTAAGTTAGATAATACCTTTTTTAAGTTCAGATACTGAAATTGTGAAACAATTATAGAACGTTACCTTAAAACATCATTGGGTAATTCTAATCAAAACAAAAGCATCTACAAGGTATCTGCGTACGACAAATTGTTGATAAAAATCTTTCGGAAATGAAACAAAAACACCTACTTTGGAAAGAGGATGTAGAGGGATGTAGCTGTAAACAAAAAGTGGCAGGAAAGAAAACTGATCACTCAATGTACTGAATGGGAAAAAAGCAAAAAGCACTTTCATGTACTGTGTAATTCTTTACTTTTTAATAACAAAGAAAATCCTGCTTTTATTATCTGTAGTTAATGAAATGATTTTACAGAGAAGTAGTTCATATATTCTCTGTATGATTTTCTGATAGATAACACAAATTTTGGGAGCAGTTCATCAATAACATTTCCCATATTACAACGTACTGCTGAAGAAAAAATACTGAACTCTGATAGACTTACCCTGGAAAGGTGAGAAGGTTATGGAGCACACACACCAGAGCTTGTGATTCTTGTGTCTGATGGTCTAAAGTGATGAGTATTCTGGTAATGCCTGTGGCCAATGCTGTGAGTCGTGGGTTTGGTTTTTGGTTTTTTGTGTATGTATTTTTGAGAGAAGAACTGTGTCCCATAGAGAAATTCTGTATGAGAGTCCTTATGATGAATATATCCATACAGCAGTCATCTAAAGCAGTTAGGGCTTTTCATTGTAAACTAAGGAGCTGGCTTAAGAGTCGAATGCAAGGTCATGGATGTAATCTATAGAAAGAGGCTATTTCTCCATAAGTTCTAACCTGATGCATTAACTGTAGAATGGTTGTTTTTTATTTTTCTTAACCAGGACACAAAAAGAAGTTGTATCTGAAAGACATTTAATTGTGAAATTTTTTTTTTTTTGGGTGGGCCTAAGGTTCATGTAGTCCAAAAAGTTTTGTCAGGTCAGTAGGACTCCTTCTGGAATAATCCTAAAATAAAAATAACAATTTTCAACATAATTTCCTATTTCTTTTCACATTAACACTTACTATTTCATGTATTTATATTTCAAAACTAAACTTCTATGAACCACACAAAAATTGCATAGACATAGAACACTTTGAATTCTGATCTAAACAGTCTGGTTATGTGGTGTCTGATGAAAAAATTTAAAAATTGGCAGGATGCATCTGTTGAAATTTTAATGTGGTCACAACACAAAACTTCCGTGTTGTTTCTTTGTAAGAAACAAATCTCTGATTAAAAAGCCAGGCTTTCAGAGGATTTTGGAAGCACTTCTGCTCTGTTTTCATGCTGATTTTTTTTTTTTTTTATATAGTAAGGACTTACTACCTTATTTACAGAGTTTAATTAGCAAATCTGATGACCTTAATATTACCTTAATCAAGATAGTATGCTTTCCTTGGTTGAATCAGAGTGGATAAGTAGAAGGTGGATTACCAATTTGTTACATGTGGTTTTTGTTTTGTTTCTTTTTCCTTCCAGGCAGAAACTGACAGTGTGCCCAGTTATTGATGGGGAAGATCATCTTCGCCTTTTGAATTTCCAACATAACTTTATAACCCGGATCCAAAATATTTCTAATCTGCAGCATCTTGTTTTCTTAGATTTATATGATAATCAGATAGAGGAAATAAGTGGAGTTTCAACTCTGAGATCCCTAAGAGTCCTTTTGTTGGGAAAGAACAGGTAAAAATAATGAAACTAACTTAAAGCATGCTGTTTCTTTATGGTGTAACAACTGCAATCTGTCATAGTTTCTGTTACTTACAGAGTTTCCAGATTGATATGTTGACTGTGAGACCAGTGAGCTCGTCCTTAACACTGGCTAAGTGTTAGGTATCCCACTGAGGAACCACACAGTTTTTGCTTGTAATGTTCTTCAGAAACTTCCTTTCTTATGTAAATTTTAGCAGCAGTTCTGAAGTATTTTAAGTGCTTCTATCTAATCTGTTCTGATCAACTATTAAGTATGTATTCTTAGATTTGTGTGACAGGTGGAATCTCTGTTCACATCACAAAGTATTCATTGATTCTTTGTAACCTATAAAAAGTATTTCTGGCTGATGTCTTTAGCTGGGAAAGAAGTCAGAGACATGAATCATGGATTTTTATTGCTTATTTATTGAGTCTGTTCTGTTGGGAGATACAACTTGCTAGTTGTTTTACTTTCTAATAATACAGTTCAAATCCTGTAACCTTTAATTCTAATAATTTAATAGAAGTATCTGTGGAAGTGCTCGCACATCTAAGGGTTGTGCTGCGATTTTGTTCCGTTTCCTTGTTTTCTTTATAGTCAATAAAGGAAAAACTGGTAAACAAACTTCAGTTATGTGCAGATTACAAAGAATATATCTCCTAATTCAGCCTGTATTCAAAACTGACAGCTTTCAATAGTGCAGTATGTTACTAGAGCTTATAGCTTTTATATTAAAAATCTCACCTGTAGAAATTAATTTTGATGATAGCAAAATACTGGGACATGGGAACAATAATTTTTAAGGTGTTTTAAGGACTTATTTTCTGAATCATAACTACATTGAGTGCTGTATAGTTTGTTTACGTAGAAGTATGGTTTGGAGGTAGTTAGGACAAGACATACTCATAAATGATTACAAGTCAGACGCACTTGCTAGCAACTTCTTTTCAGCTTGATCTACATGTGATCTTTGATTATTCTTGAAGCAAATGCATAATACACATGATGTTTAATAACATCAGCCAGTAGATGATGCTGTTGAGTATATAATAACCTAGGTTTGGAATCTGAGAAAATAGGACAGGACAGAAAAGGTTTAAGACAGTGATGTTGTACAAGGAAAGAAGAAATACTGCCAAATCTAGAAATCTATGTTGTCTAGAAAGGGCCAGTGGCTTGCCTTTTTTTTTCTGTTTTTATTTTATTCTGTGTTCGTCTAACAAACTCTAGAAATCTTGTGTCTCTATAGTCTTTGTTTAAACTGGTTTGGAATTAGCTATTTACCAGTAATAATGTTTTTTATTATTTAGGTGTCTGGGTAGGTTGGTTGTTGACTTTATTTTCTCATGGTGCAAGTATTCCTTCCCTTTTCACCTTCCTAGAGAAGCCAGGTATTGCCTTATTATAAAGCTGCTATTGCATTATTGACAGTCAGAAAGGAAGGTGGTAGTCTAAGGCATACTTGCTCATTTATTCATTTGTTTTTTACATGGTTCAGAACTTTGTTGTTCTGTTACTCTTGGTAGGCAGGAACAAATGGCTATGTTTTGTATTAGCTGGAAAATGAAAGATACATTTTAACTAATGTGAAAAATAATTTATGTCATAATTGAAATCGTGCAGAATAAAGAAGATCTCAAATCTGGAGAACCTAAAAAATCTTGATGTTTTAGATCTTCATGGAAATCAGGTACAGTACAATATTATTCACGTTTCTTGTGTAGACATCATGCGTTTCCTGTGTCTTTTACCAAGCTATTGCTTTTTAGAAGGGAACTGGTAGCAAATTTGGTCGCAGAAATCAGTAAATTAATAAAAGGTGGTATGATGTTATTTTGAATCTTGGTATCAAGTCTCTTGTACTTTCAGCATTGTACTTCTGGAGTGTTAAAGTGATTAAAATGCTGAGTCAGCGGAGTATAATAGCACTCACATCTACAGAATAGTAATCTAGCATAAGTAGTTGTGGTGTAGTTAAAGTAACACAGTCTTAGAAGTCATAGAAGAATTTAAGATCCCATTCATTGTTGTGTTGTTTCTACTGTTGGTGATCTTACAAAACAAGATCCCTTACATATCTGTAGAAGACTTAAGTTTGTAGAGGAAAAAGCAGAATGGGTCCAAGCTCTTGATTAATTCATGCTTTTGGATAGACTTAAGTCCCTTAATGTCTATTCAATTTCCCTGGTTTGAGACTAAGCAGTCATTTGTGTTTCAAGTGGTGCATAAAGTTTTAGCTATAGTACATAGAAGAGGAAGATTCTTCTTTAATGGGTATGTCAGAAGCAGCATGGAGCATTAAGGGCAAGCTGGATTTAGTATTCTTTTGTAAAATAAATTTAAAACATGTGTGATACAAAATGTTCCATAATTGAGCTGTTTAAAACAACATACAGTTAATGTGACTATATAAGACCAATATGTGAATTGTCTGGATTCCTGTTCTGACAGTTCTGATATCTTACTGATTTGTCTGTGTATGTTCTTTATTACACAGTTGCTTGATGGTGGGGAATGATAATGGTTTTTTTAGGAAAAAAAAGAAGGCCAATCTAGCACTGTAATGAATTACTGTTATATATGATGTGGTAAGTTTGTGGCTTCTTTGAATAACATCAGTCCAATAGTATGCATGTTTTACAGTGGCAGACGCAGTATAGGACCAGGTAATGACATTGTCACTCTAAGACTCCAAAGGCAATGTTTGGAGATGGCTAAGTGTTTGTGTAGTTATAATCCTTTTCTTATTGCTGCTGTAAGTTTGGGGGTGTTTTCATGTTTTGGATTAAAAAAATACTTGCAGATTAGACATGCAGCTGTCCCAGTCAGCACACTTTTGTAGCACAAGTAGAGGAATCACTAACAATGCACAACTCTTACAAATGATCGTTAAGTAGGTCTGATTTTTTACAACTCCCTTTCCATTAATTAGAACTTTATTAGGAGTTTTGGGCATAGTGCCCAACTGGCTGCTGCTAGATCAGCTTCATAATAATAGACCTACTTTGGTCCAGAGAGCGTAAAAAACTATCCTGTATCGGGAGTTAAATATTAAATCTCTGGAGCATAATAAATGCTTTTGTTTTCCAGAAAGTTTTAATCATAAATGTACATGTGAAGGACACAAATGTTGGGAAATGATTTGTTTTCTACATTTTTTTTTAAGTGTTTAGTGTATTTTTCCTGGAAAGACCAAATAAAAACTATGAACTTCTCTTCCATTAATAAATTATCTTTCTGTTCCTTTCCACTTTAAAGATATGCAAGTTTTCATATTAACATTCCTTTTTTCCTGTCTTTGAGGAATTCAAGATTTAAAATGCCAATTTGCCATACGTATTATTAGTTATTTTTGAAGACATAAGGGAAGAAATGCAGGAGGGAGGAAATGCTGAGTTTGACACATGACCTTAGTGTACTAGTATCTTGTTTTGAAGTCTGGGGGGGGTGTTGTTGTTGTTGTTTGCTTATTTAATAATGAATAGGGGGCTCTGTCTTTTATCTTTATTTAGATTTGTGGAATCTTTCTATAGAGCAGCCTTCTAGTCTATCTTAAATGATACTTCTTCCACATCATAAATTTCTCAAGAACAGACTTCAACCACAGAATTGGTTTTGAGAATTTCAGAATATGTTTTCCAATATTCCAGAACATAGCGATTTAAACAACAGATCAGTAGAATTAAAAATGAAGTGTTGGTATTTAGTTCAAAATAGCGGATTCTGATCGTTGCTCTGTTGATATAATGTCCTGTCTCTAACATACAGATGCTTTTTTTTTCTTTAATTCAGTACAGATCAATTAGAATCAAGAAAGCAGAAATGGAATATCCTGCTCGTCAGTCATAATGAAAAATAATAGAAAATAGGATTTGCATTATATTAATAAGCTTTTGATATATCTGTTTCCTTAGATTGCTTGTGGCATTATCCTGCACCCGGTTCTCACAGGAAAGTAAAAAAATCTATGATAAATCTAGTCAGTTTTACAATCTGGAATCAGTGATGGGCAGCAGTTTTCCTTTATCAGGATGGTTCTTTTTTCAAGCAAAAGGTGTAACGATGCTTTTGTGATGTGCATCGCTTATGTTGTCTTTTCTTATAACTATGAAAAAATGTAATTCACTTTGGATGTACAAAAGTGTCACTGGCTGCCAGTGTAGTATAAATCTTTGTATGTGCTTTGTGAATATGAGATTTCCTCTGGACATCATTTTCCGTTGCTCACTTCCAGTAACTGTGAAACACACTGTATAGGTTACTTAATGTTACCGTCTTTTCAGTCATACTCTATTCCTTATGCTTACAGATATTTTTGTGGTACTTTTGTTTTCATGTTTCATTCAAAAGTTGTTTCTTACAGATAGGAGAAATTATTTAATGCTGTGTACATGGGAAACAGATATTCTCAATCCAGGACAAAACTTTAAGGCTATTTTCTAGAAAGGACAGCTGTCTTTGTGGTATCGTCTATATCTTATTTCCAGGAATATTTTCAGGATTTTCTTAATGTGATATTCTTGGGCCACAATGCAAAATTCATACTGTTAAAGGCGCTACTCAGACTTGCACACTTGGGTTTGCATTTATTTTTTGATTGTATTAATTTAAAAAGGTGTTTTTGTGGTTTTGAAAAAAAGGTTTGTAATTTTAACTACAATGACAAGTTTTGCAGTAAGTTAACTGGAAGGAGTTTTGATGCCAAACTCTCCAGGAAGAAATGATAGATTCTTTGAAGAAAGCTATTGATAAACTGAAACTTGGATGTAGGTTTTGCCTGAAGGCTGTTTGCCCAATGAGCAAATTGTTGTGTAAACTGTAATTGGCTTAAACATAGATGGTATACAAATGACTGTATGTCAGATCCTATGAAACAAGACACCTCACCTCAATCCCTGGGGAAGTGATGGAACAAATAGTCCTGGTAACCAGGAGTAGGCACCATGAATTTATCTAGGAAATGGCATTTTTTTACAACAAAGTGATGAGTGCAGTGGATGTTTTTTATCTTGAATTTAGGAAGGTGTTTGACACTGTCTCCCATTAGATCTTTAAAGACAAACTTCAATTAAATTTGGACTAGATAGATGGACAGTGAGGTGAAATGAAAACTGGCTGAACTGCCAGGGTCAAAGGCTTGTGATCAGTGACACAAAGTCTAGCTAGAGGCCAGACTCTATTGTTGTACTCTAGAGGTTGATACTGGCCAATACTTTTTAACACCTTTATTGATGACCTGCATTATTAATAATGCATAAAATTGAAAGGAGAGCTTTATACATGAGAGAATTGTGCTGCCATTCAATGGTACTCTGATAGGCTGGAGAAATGGGCTGAGAGAAATCTCATTAAATTGAAGAGAGGGAAATGCGAAGTCCTGCACTTAGGGATGAATAGCCCCATGCACCGCTAGGGGCTGGGTGCTCACCAGCTGAAAAGCAGCTTTGTAGTAAAGGACGTGAGAGCTCTGCTGAACGACAGGCAGGCTGTGTGCCAGCAGCGTGCCTGTATGGCAAAGGCCAGCAGCGTTCTGGGCTGCCCTAGGAAGAGTGTTGGCAGTAGGTTGTGGGAGGTCATCCTTCAGGCTCTCTAGGACAAAACTGTCACCGTTGAAGGCTGGGATGGCACATCCTCTCTATTAACCCCTTCCCCCCTCCCCAGAGAGGAAGGAAAGGAGAAAAGGGAGAGACTTACAGATTGGAAAATCGGAACAACTTTAATAAAACAATAACAGTGAAAAATAGCATAATGATATTAATACTAATACTACTAATAATAGAAATAAAGGAAAAAATATACAAAACCAATAATGAGCTTCCCAATGGTGGTCAGGGAATTGCAGGCTGCAGTGGCTCGCACCGCTGCCATGGCAGTGTGGGCACCTAGATGTCCCAGACTGGACTCAGCAACAGACAGGAACTGGATTCAGGAATACATGGATCAGGATCGGAGGCAGGAGAATAAGCAGGGTCCCACAGGGATGCCGGCCATGAAAGAAGAGAGACTAACCCCTGTGATTTCTTAGCTTTATACCGAGTATGATTTATATGGGGTAGAATACCTCGTTGGTCAGTGTTTTGTCACCTGTCCCATCTGCACTTTTCCATAGGTGTGACGCTTTTACGACTTTTCACTTGTGGAACATAAGAGAGCCAGCAGTGACCTTGGTTCCCACAGGAATAAGCATAAACGTGAGCCTTTCTGCATACCAATCCCACTATTACTTCAGTAACAACTATAAACATCAAGCGTTACCAATTCTGAAAGCAGACACTGTCTGAAAGATGTGCACTTTCTGAAAGTACAGTTACTTATAAGAAACTTAACTGAAGGAAAAACTACTGAAAGAAGAAGTAGCCCTGTTTTAGCCAAACGAGGAGAAAACCAAATGTGAACTTAAGGGAGTGAGTCCAGCAAAAAGGCACAAAGGCAATGAAGGGACTGGGGCATCTCTAATTTGAAGAGAGGCTGAGAGCGCTGAGATTTGCCTTGCATGGAGAAGGGAAGCCTCAGGGAGTTCTTATCTATGTATATAAATAACTGATGGGAGGGTCTAGGTAAGATGGAGCCAGACTTATCTCAGTGGTGTTCAGCAAAAGGACAAGAATCATTGAGCGTAAACTGAAATATAAGGAAACTTGTTCGAACTTCAGAAAAATGTTATTGTTAGGGTGGCCGAAGACTGGAGAAGGTTGCTTAGACA